AAATATTGAGAACCGTAAAAGAGCATGACATCATGGAAAAACTAAAAAAGAAATTATAGTAAATTATAAGTATAAACAAGAATATATTGATAAAGAAGATAAAAGAACAAAGTCACAAAACAGAAATGGAGAACAGGAAGGGCAATAGAACCTGGATAAACAAACTGGAAGAAATAAAAAACAAAATCCAAGAAAGACCTATAGTTATGAGTTTTACATAAAAACCCTTCAACCTAAATACAATATAATAATAAAATACAGGAAAACCAAAAGAAAGAGATTACAGAAAGGGAACACAACTACCAGAAGCCGTTGGGATGAGGATGAAACAGAAATAAAAATAAATCAGAGGAATCATTGGCCATCTCATCGGATTGTGGAAGCAACAAATCATCACACAATAAAAATAGAACACAAAATAGTCTACCCAGTCAAGATAGAAAAGAAAAAATCAAGAATGCGGTAACACAAAGACTGGAAGGTATGGAAAGAACAAGGATGAACATATAAGAAGTAATACGGAAAGAAAAAGGAGAAATAATTTGGGAAAGGTGATTGGAGAAACAAGCAAGAGAGATGGACAATAAGCTAAGGAAATAAATTAGACAATGCGCTAATAGGAGAACACAAAAGGAAGAAAAGAGTAAAGAAAAAAGAAGGAAAATGAAAGCCAACACAGGAGCAATACAACTAAAAGAACAGAAATACAAAAAGATACTAGGAACATGACGGAAGAAAAAACCAAGAACGTGAAAGAAGAAGGAAATGACGAAAGCGGAAATGAAAGCTTTACATCAATGGAGAACGTGGCCGCACGATACTGACACACGTGGCCATTAGTTTCTACCCTACAAATAATAAAAAAAGAATTAACTCGATTAAAAAAAAAAAGAGGGGAAACGGGAACCTCTACGGTAATTTCTCCGGGAATTGCCGAATTTTAGTATTCTGAGATTTGCACTGTGATATTGCTACCACCCTGTAATTTATCTTTGGCGGCGGTTCGAGTGTTCGTGTTTTTGGTCGTGAAGGGAAAGGAGTGGGGAGACGTTTCGTCCGGGGCCCACTAGAGGACTCATCAGTAAGGCTATCCTAGCGGGCCCTTGCCTTAGACGTAAGGGTAGGACGAAGTCTCGGTGTATATATACGGATCGAGGCGGATCGGCTACTTACTAGCGGGAAGAGGAGCCCTCTGCTGGCAGGTCTGGAGGTAGCCGCCACATATCGATTCCAATTTAATTCCAATTTAATTTCCGATTCTAATTTATCAAATTCCCGGAAGCAGGTCATAATTCAATGACATAATATTTTTAATTTTAACGTTTTAAAAATATTTTTTTTTTAACATATTGCTGATAGTATTCTTATTAAATTGGGACCAAACATGATATAGTTTGGACAAATATTTCTGATTTAAATAAAATCAAACACAATATAACTTCGATTACATTTATTTATTTAATATTTATTGTGAAAATTTATATTCTATATTGAATGTTTTATGGCCTATCATCCTTGGAATCGTGTAGTATCGTGGCCTACTGTGATGATTTTCCTCTATTTCCTAATAACAAATACAAATGTGAAAAAGATTGATTTATAAATAATTCATATTCAAATCGGCTGCAAATTTTTACCGTTGTATGAATACGTACTTATTTAATTTTCCTTGCCCAAGAAATACAATTTCAATGCCTTCACCATGTATTGCATGTGAGGTGATTCTCTTGCACTATGTGGCAATGTAACCATACGTAATTTATTGTTCTCATACGGTTCTTCCTGAAGTCTTTCCGTTTCTACTTCTGTCTCTTCATTTTCGTCCCTCCTTTCTTCTCCCTCGCAGTTCAATAAAAATTGTGTAAAACATAATTGCTAGGGTGTATTGCTCTCTTGTGATAACACTTACTATGTGTAGCTCAAATCTGGTTCAAGCACTGACATGTCTGACTGAATGGGAGGACTAGCAGGATCAGTAATTTTATTCCATGAAATTTTAATATTACTTTCTGTAATTTCCAACCAGGAATTCGGTAAAGTGTCAATGCAATGGAAAAAATACAATAAACTGTTTTTTCACACTCTCCGTCAAACGTATAGGCTCGTCGAATATACGTCGAATGGAGGTGTTACGCGATTTTGGAGTTTTGATAAGGGGGGAACGTGAACTAACCGATGTAATGTAATGTCAACGCGGACCGTCGCTATAGGGATTGGGGGTTTAGTTGCCTTGTAACTTTTTACAAGAAAAATTAAAGATATACCTCGAGCGGTAAAGGCATATCTCTGTGGGTTTGTACCAACTACTGCTTCGAATCAGAAAATGGAATAAATGAATTTTACATTCAAATTGACTGGTAACAGATAATATATTACAAGCTTTTTAGTTCAATACAAGATCGCGGTTCCAGTTTATCGCACTGATAAGTCACGCTGGCGGGGGCTTATAACCTTGCAACGATATACGTATGCATTCGGTTGAAATGCTCGAAAGAGAATCAGACCCAATCTCGCTAACATTCCTCTTCGTCAGTAATTGACTTGAAACTGGGCCCAGTTTTAGTCGCGTTTGGGTCCTTTATATACCCAAATCTTCTTGAATAACAGTAGTGGAAATGTCCATACGTGTCCTAATCCCAGAAAAATTCGTCGTCGTATCCCTTTGAAGGTACATGACTCGAAATATATAAAGTGTCCCAAAAATGAATCGCAATTCGGAAAAGGGAGATTCCTGGGGCCATTTGAAATAACTTTCTCCTTAGCAAAAATGCGATCCGCGGCTTTGTTTACGAGTTATTAACGAAAAACAGTGACCAATGAATGACGAGATCAGCTGGTGAGAGACGGTCGAGCCAATGAGCGAAACTGGGCTTTGTGCGCTCGTTGGCTGGGCCGCTTCGCGCCAGCCGAGCTCGCCATTAAAATAATTATTTTTTTTATTATTTTTAGTGAAAATTTCATTGCAATATCTCCAATTGTTCAATTTGAATTGAGTTTCTTTTACATTCCTAATAGAAAACGCCGGTTATAATATCATTTTTGTAACGAAATCTGTACAGCAGATCCCGATCTGCTGAATCCGTAAAGTCACGTGACTATCCTAACCCCTTAATACATGTTTAATACATTTTTACCAGAGCTGGAAAATAATAAATAGTATGTAAATATATTTGTTTTCTCATGTGTGTAGTTACATATGGTGTAATAGTATCGTGAAATAAGTATTTTATTAAAATATAGAAAAATAATATTTCATCAAACAGTATTTAGAATAATGGTATTGCAATAGTATTGCAGACAAGAATTGTATCCTTCAGCTTTTTATAGTACCATGTAAAAAACACAACACAAGAACTGCACTTAAACATGTACTACACACCTGCAAGAAATATTTATTCGAATAGAAGATAGCGTGTGACAGTTGCGAAATATGTTTAATTTTTAAATTTTCGTGTCTAATTTTCAGTTCTTTATTTTCTACATTTGAATCTAAGTATAAGTATTAAATAGCATTTTCTGATGTTTTAAATATTTAACGAAATACATTCCAAATAGTATTTCATTTAAGCATTAAACGAAATAGTATTTACTTATGCAAATATTTCAATTTTACTACGTTTTGTCAAATTATTTCAAATCTTCACCAGCCCTGATTCTGGCTCTAGAATCCAGAATTTGAATTACCGCTTCTAAACCGCCATATTGAATTTTAGTTCGTTCAGGTTCGCAGCTAATTCCAAGTGACAATCAAGACAGTGCTAGAAAAATTGACTGTAGAGTCGAGGCTCCCTGCTGCCATTCGAGCATAAGTCGCTGAACGACTCGTTACTTATTGTGTATCGTGAGCGAGAAGAGTAGTGAAGAGAAGCGTTTCAGAAAAGGCCCGTGTATTATTGAAAGCTGACGATCTGCTGGATCCGTGGTAAGTCGCTCTTCGTTATTTTTTGTGATTTTCTTTTCGTGAGAAGGCTGGGAAAGTTGGTGTGAGTACGAACCGCTTCACGCTCTTGTTTGTCGCGTCCGGAAAGTTAGGAAATCGCGAGTACGCTTCAATGCGTACAGCGACTGTTCCTCCGCACGCGGAAGCAGTCTGTTCGCATTCGTGTCTTTAAAAGTAGTTTCTCGTGCAGTCAATTTTATTCGCGCCTTACATCGTACCTCACATACGTACTTAGCGATTTCGCGTGTATTTGAGGAAGAATATATTGTCATTATCACGCAAAAAAACTAACGCTATCCTACGCTTCTTGAATAAATCTGCAGTTTAGTGACTTTGCACTAAATGTTCTTATCTTTACCAGTTTTTTCAAAAAATGTGCTATTGCTATTTTTTTAATAAAAAAATTATAAAAACTACAGAATGCCTTAACCAACGACGATCATATTTCAGTATATTATAGAGGACGAGATTCTGAACAACTTTTATTTGAAAAATAATTGCCGATCGGCCTTAGTTTTTGAAATATTTGCTGAAATAATTGATACTACCACAATGAGTTCGCCTTACGTATACCGCAACGCGTTGCGGCTGCGAAGGATCGCCGCTCGTCTAGTGTTTCTATAAACATGAGCCGTTCAGTGCACACATCGCTTAATTCCATAAAAGAAAAAGTTGAGAAACGCGATGAAACGATGTACATTGTTTTTTAAAATTCCTGTTATAATATAGATTCACACATATAATGTAGAATGCATAAATACAGATATAGCTTTCATCTGACGCTGTATAAAATTAATAAGAAAGAATAGCCAAAAAATAATCGTCAGTAATGTTACAGCTTTTATGTGACTGGTGGAGTTAATCAATTTGGCAACNCCGATGTAATGTAATGTCAACGCGGACCGTCGCTATAGGGATTGGGGGTTTAGTTGCCTTGTAACTTTTTACAAGAAAAATTAAAGATATACCTCGAGCGGTAAAGGCATATCTCTGTGGGTTTGTACCAACTACTGCTTCGAATCAGAAAATGGAATAAATGAATTTTACATTCAAATTGACTGGTAACAGATAATATATTACAAGCTTTTTAGTTCAATACAAGATCGCGGTTCCAGTTTATCGCACTGATAAGTCACGCTGGCGGGGGCTTATAACCTTGCAACGATATACGTATGCATTCGGTTGAAATGCTCGAAAGAGAATCAGACCCAATCTCGCTAACATTCCTCTTCGTCAGTAATTGACTTGAAACTGGGCCCAGTTTTAGTCGCGTTTGGGTCCTTTATATACCCAAATCTTCTTGAATAACAGTAGTGGAAATGTCCATACGTGTCCTAATCCCAGAAAAATTCGTCGTCGTATCCCTTTGAAGGTACATGACTCGAAATATATAAAGTGTCCCAAAAATGAATCGCAATTCGGAAAAGGGAGATTCCTGGGGCCATTTGAAATAACTTTCTCCTTAGCAAAAATGCGATCCGCGGCTTTGTTTACGAGTTATTAACGAAAAACAGTGACCAATGAATGACGAGATCAGCTGGTGAGAGACGGTCGAGCCAATGAGCGAAACTGGGCTTTGTGCGCTCGTTGGCTGGGCCGCTTCGCGCCAGCCGAGCTCGCCATTAAAATAATTATTTTTTTTATTATTTTTAGTGAAAATTTCATTGCAATATCTCCAATTGTTCAATTTGAATTGAGTTTCTTTTACATTCCTAATAGAAAACGCCGGTTATAATATCATTTTTGTAACGAAATCTGTACAGCAGATCCCGATCTGCTGAATCCGTAATGTCACGTGACTATCCTAACCCCTTAATAGAATGTAAATATATTTGTTTTCTCATGTGTGTAGTTACATATTGTAATAGTATCGTGAAATAAGTATTTTATTAAAATATAGAAAAATAATATTTCATCAAACAGTATTTAGAATAATGGTATTGCAATAGTATTGCAGACAAGAATTGTATCCTTCAGCTTTTTATAGTACCATGTAAAAAACACAACACAAGAACTGCACTTAAACATGTACTACACACCTGCAAGAAATATTTATTCGAATAGAAGATAGCGTGTGACAGTTGCGAAATATGTTTAATTTTTAAATTTTCGTGTCTAATTTTCAGTTCTTTATTTTCTACATTTGAATCTAAGTATAAGTATTAAATAGCATTTTCTGATGTTTTAAATATTTAACGAAATACATTCCAAATAGTATTTCATTTAAGCATTAAACGAAATAGTATTTACTTATGCAAATATTTCAATTTTACTACGTTTTGTCAAATTATTTCAAATCTTCACCAGCCCTGATTCTGGCTCTAGAATCCAGAATTTGAATTACCGCTTCTAAACCGCCATATTGAATTTTAGTTCGTTCAGGTTCGCAGCTAATTCCAAGTGACAATCAAGACAGTGCTAGAAAAATTGACTGTAGAGTCGAGGCTCCCTGCTGCCATTCGAGCATAAGTCGCTGAACGACTCGTTACTTATTGTGTATCGTGAGCGAGAAGAGTAGTGAAGAGAAGCGTTTCAGAAAAGGCCCGTGTATTATTGAAAGCTGACGATCTGCTGGATCCGTGGTAAGTCGCTCTTCGTTATTTTTTGTGATTTTCTTTTCGTGAGAAGGCTGGGAAAGTTGGTGTGAGTACGAACCGCTTCACGCTCTTGTTTGTCGCGTCCGGAAAGTTAGGAAATCGCGAGTACGCTTCAATGCGTACAGCGACTGTTCCTCCGCACGCGGAAGCAGTCTGTTCGCATTCGTGTCTTTAAAAGTAGTTTCTCGTGCAGTCAATTTTATTCGCGCCTTACATCGTACCTCACATACGTACTTAGCGATTTCGCGTGTATTTGAGGAAGAATATATTGTCATTATCACGCAAAAAAACTAACGCTATCCTACGCTTCTTGAATAAATCTGCAGTTTAGTGACTTTGCACTAAATGTTCTTATCTTTACCAGTTTTTTCAAAAAATGTGCTATTGCTATTTTTTTAATAAAAAAATTATAAAAACTACAGAATGCCTTAACCAACGACGATCATATTTCAGTATATTATAGAGGACGAGATTCTGAACAACTTTTATTTGAAAAATAATTGCCGATCGGCCTTAGTTTTTGAAATATTTGCTGAAATAATTGATACTACCACAATGAGTTCGCCTTACGTATACCGCAACGCGTTGCGGCTGCGAAGGATCGCCGCTCGTCTAGTGTTTCTATAAACATGAGCCGTTCAGTGCACACATCGCTTAATTCCATAAAAGAAAAAGTTGAGAAACGCGATGAAACGATGTACATTGTTTTTTAAAATTCCTGTTATAATATAGATTCACACATATAATGTAGAATGCATAAATACAAATATAGCTTTCATCTGACGCTGTATAAAATTAATAAGAAAGAATAGCCAAAAAATAATCGTCAGTAATGTTACAGCTTTTATGTGACTGGTGGAGTTAATCAATTTGGCAACTGAAAAAAAGTAGTAAAGTTAAATTCAGTCTTTAAATTTTTAAGTTTTTTATTACAGAAAAAGTTAGTTATTATATATTTTTATTACAGCTTTTGCATAATAATGAATATTGACAGTTCTGTTATATTATATTATTTGTAATTAATCCATCAGAAATATTATAAATAATGTCTTCTTCATCAGCTGGATGTGAGGATTCGTCATTTCGATTTGTTGTCAAGTTTTCATAGTAATCATGTTCAACCGGAGGAATGTATTTTAGCAGGTCCATCATGTCTCTCCATTTTTCCCTTGTCACGGTTCTGCCTTTAGGATATAATAAAGGCTGATATATATTTTTCAAACTTTGCGGTCTACCTGATACAGATTTTCTTAAATTAATGGCTTTAAATTCTGTATCTTCATTATAATCACATTTGAATTGTATGAGATGGGGTTTGGACCTTTCTAATTTTATCCAGCGTATTTTAAGCCAATTTACTGGAAAGCCTGTGACGGTTACTTTTCTGTTAATGATTGATTGTTCTAAAGGTTTTGTTGAAAAAATATCTTGGTGGGTCATTTGGATTAGATGAAATGGAGCTTTCTTTTTACATGTTTTGATTATATTGTACCAATCATCTGGTGAAAAAATGTTTTGATTTTTTTTCGCACGTGACTCAATAATGGCAAAATCTGAGTCATTAGGCAAATAGCTGTGCCCACTTACCAAAAATTTCATTTCAATTGACTCAGCTCTTATTTCCATACTCTGAACAAGTTTCAATAAACTTAAGACAGTTTTAATATTTCTGTTTTGCCCGGTACACGAATCCGAATATGTTATTATTTTTTCAAAGTTTGTAGCGTAAGTCTTTATGTACTTTATTAGACAAGATGAAATTTCTTGAGACCCACGAGATCCTTCAGTTTCTGGCCAAACAAACATGTGGCTTATATTTTTACTGAATTCATGACATCCGAAATTATAAACATATAAATTACGCTTATAATAAGCTACGGATGTGGTCAGCTTGGGAAAGGCCAAAGCTTCTTCCAAGTCGAAAGAAAATAAGAAAACTTTTTCTGATGTTGCCATTCGGTCGGCAGCCATTTGACTGCGAGCCCGTTTAGCCTCTTCTAAGTGAGTTTCCTTTTCAATTTCTGCCATCTTCTTTGCCTCACCGTCTGAGGATTGAATTTTTATTTGCAAAGCATCACAATTTTGACACGTATCCTTTGATGGTTGTTTAAAATGTAAATTAAATTTTGTAGAGAACACATTATAGTAATACTTTTCTTTCACTGGTACTACATTTTCCTTTTCACATTCTGTGACGTATAGTTCATACATCTTCTTAATATTTAAGTCAGGATCTAAATATTGTCGTCTTGGATTATGAGCTCTAGTGTAGTGACTACGGTATCAACCAAAGATGTAACTTGTTCTTTAGGACAACATTTGTATATCCGCCCATCGCTCACCTGATAAGTGTCTCTAAAATATTTTTTGCAAACGGGAATATCACGTGTGTCTTTTCGAAAGTAATATGTAAAAGAATGTGATCTTCGTTCTTTAGTTTCATTCGTGGGGCGCCTTCTTTTTATTTCGTTGACTTTAATACAACCTCTTAAGAAAATATTTTGGTCAAGCTGACTATGTAAACTATAAAATGCCTTCATGGCAGTCTCTCTCTCATTTGAAAAAATTTTTTGGTTGCACTTTTGGCGGCATCTGCATTTTATATCGACAAATGTTTTTGCAGGTATTAAATTTCCTCCCCTATTCCTATATGCCAAACCTTTTGTTCTGTTATGCTTTTGTAAATTTCGTGTCCATTTATCAGGATTACAACTTCTTTTCCTCCCAATCAACGTGTTTGTTGCGAAATTTGTACTGTTGCAATCAGATGAATCCGAGGAAAACGATAAACGTCTTCTTGAACCACACTTTCTGTTAATAAATCGTATTGAAGAACCATCACTGTTTTCGTCATCCACGTTGTTATTAGTCTCACTCATCTTGGTTATAACGGTATAATATTTATTTCTTTAAAAACAATCTGGGAGTAATGATGAAAAGACCAAGAAAATATGTAGGCCGTGCAATAATGGTGAAGTAGACAGTAACATTCAGCGTGCGAGATCACTGTTATACTAACTACCGTTTGCGTTGCGCTTTTTTTTAATCTGTTTGTCGATGCGATTTTATTACCAATATTATTGAGAGGGGGGAAAGCATCTTCGGCTGTTTAAAACAAAGCGTTGATGCATGACAATAAAGCAACGATTACATTAGGGTATGGAGTTAATCAAAATGACTTCTGAAATAAATTACTTATTTTTCAATGGCCAAAAAAATGTTGCCGTTTAATGGTGTTAATTTTTATTATTCAGGGAAGTTATTATAAATATAAAAAGTTATGACTATAGCAAGTGCTTTGACACATAAATTTAAGATTTTTCAAAAAGTGGAGTTAATCGATGTGTGCACTGAACGGCTCATATGATAACCGCCAGTCGAGCATCGGTAGTTGGAAACGGTTGACGGGTAGAAAAGATCTAATTTCAATTATATTTGAATCTAAATATGTATATGCGGTGTGTCAAAGAACTAACGCTAACTCAAATCTATTAATTAACCCTGCAAGGACGACGCGCATTTCCCGTTTTCTTACCTTGCGACCATCGGTATTCTGCGTAAGATATGTACAGTAGCTCACGAAAGTATTCGAACGCCTTTTGAAAGGCAATAACTGTTTTAAAACTGGACTAAGGGACTTGAATTTTGTTCAGATAATAGCGGGACAAGTTTACCAGACGATGACCAAAATGCTTTTTTAAATTTTGCTATTACTTGGAATGACAAAAAAAAAGGTAAAAAACTCTAGTTTTTTTTAAGTTTTTTCTATCCGAGCCTATAACGAAAATTTAAAAAATGCCTCTCGTAGATCTCGATAACTTATATACGTGTTGAAAATTCTATCGAAATCGGTTAATCCAGAGTCGAGCTACAAGCGTTGAAAGATGTACGAAACTGCAGATTTTTTCCAGTTTTTGGTCAAAATCGTGATGAAACTGCGATTTTTGCCATCTTTAATTTCTTATAACTCATATCAACGTGAACCGATTTCGATAAAAATTTTCAGCACGCATATGTGTAAGTTACCGAGATCCACGAGAGGCATTTTTTAAATTTTCGTTATAGGCTCAGATACTAATAACAAAATTTAAAAAAAGCATTTTGGTCATCATCTGGTAAACTAATCCCGCTATCATCTGAAAAAATTCAAATCCCTTAGTCCAGTTTTAAAAAAGTTATTGCGTTTTAAAAGGCGTTCGAATACTTCCGTGAGCTATTCTGAATGTTTCCATACCATTTATTGATTATTGTAACTTTTTACATATCTGTCATAGCTACATTTAATTAATGAAATTACGTAAATCCTAATTTAAAAAAATACTAGTTTCTCACCATAATAATTTAATATCGTGTTATAAATTTTGAAACACTTTTCTAAACAAAGTCCTATGTGACAAACAAAGTAAAAATGTACAGTATCTTTTTTCTTTCGTGTTTTGAGGATTCCACGCATCTTCTTTGTGGTCTTGCTTTATTATCCGAGGGAGGAACTTTCGAAATGAAGTGTCTGCCCGCAAGTCTTGAAACTGTACTATCCGGTGTTGTACTTGATTTATTTCTTTTTTTTTGCTGCTATATGTCACTAGTAGACTTTCGATCAACATATTCTACGGAATCGTAAATGATATAACTTTTGTAATTTGACTATTTCTTCTATATATAATTATACAATTTACTACTGTTGCATTCAACAGGCAGTGAAATAATTTTTGATACCATTTTGTGCAAACTTTTCCTTTCGATCATATGGCTATGAAACATTTGATCTTTCAAATCAACACTGCCCCGTGTGTTTGAAGTTCCTTATTCGGGTATCGAATAATTGAAAATATCTTAAATAATTTTGGTAGAGACCTTGGTAATTCTTTTCTTCTACTTGTTTGTAAACTGTGAAAAAAGCCTAACTGATTAACACGTTTATCGCCCGGCGCGATTCGGCTGAGTTTCTCGCAGGGCACAAATCCGACTGTCGGAGCGCTGAAACGTAAACATAGCGATAAGCGGGAATAGCAACGATGAAACTCAAGTAGGCCCGTGCGTTGTCGGTGCCCTAATGCCATAGGGCCTTCTCTCTCTCTCTCTCTCTCTCTCTCTATCTCTCTATCTCTCTCTCTCGATTCATTATAGACAATATAATTTTAGGTTCCTAAATGGGGAAAAGTTGCCCTTAGAGATTTTTTAATGATCGAATTGTAAGACGTAAGCTCTAGCATATGAAGATATCATTATTCGAGTTTCGCGGCTCGCTTTTATAGTTGCCGACACCTCGTGTGAGAGAGTGAGAGAGAGAATGAAACTCTGGTCGTGTGCACTACCCGGAAAAGCAGTGGCCGGCACCGGACGCAGCCGGTGTACATTACTATGATTATGTACACTGTAGTGCTAGAATAAAAACGATGATCTAACTTTTCTGTTTCTAATTTTTTATACATGAAAATTTGTCCAACATATTGATGAAATTCTTCCAATTATAATGATACCAAACACGACATGCTTTAGCCCATATTTATTCAATTACAAAAATCTCGACGCCGAGATATTGCCACGGCCCTATAATTTGAACACGTGTGCTGCGGCACGCGCCGCGCGGCTCTTTTGACTCGAATTCCCGGAAGACAACTCATAATACAATGGCATAACTTTTTTTAATTTTAACATGTTAACACTGATTTCTTTTTTAATATCTTACTGTTAGTTTTCTGATTGAGATGAGATCAAACACGATATAGTTTGGACAGATATTTCTGTTGACAAAATCAAAGACGATAGATGTTGCACGTAATTTACTGCCAAGATACACGTGGTGTGCGGTGGAAAAGAGTTTAGGCAAAGTTGTTGACTTTACTGATGCTGTAATAAATAATGTAAAAAAAATTAATTTGTAAATAATTCATATTCAAATTGACGAAAAGACGAAAACAGAATCAGTTTCGAATGTTTATACTGTTTCGTGGACAGAAGACTAGAAACTGATTGGCCAGTAACGCGATGGAAGGGGATGTAAAAATGACGTAGCACGCAGTGCCGCAGGTTAGCGTGCTGGCGACCCTGTCATAAAAAATGCTTTATTGCTGAAAAGAAGAATAAACTCAGAAACTGCAATGAAGAAGGTTATGGCTCCACGAAATTGAAAGTCTAACGAACGTGATCTTTTGTCGATTGCACGTCGTTCATTGAAGGACTGTAATTTGTCTCGCTGAGCCGAAGATTCCCCGTAAATAAAATTGTTTTTTAAGAGTAGAAAAAAATTTAATTCATCCCAGAGAAAATTGGGCGGACACAGCACGAAAATTTCGTTGAAGGACGGAACATCCTTCGTCGCCACATCTGCAATCCATTTGTTGCGCTATCTGCGCTTTTCAAGAACGCTAAATGTCGCGTTCTTTCTTGATGTTCGACATCTTAAAATTCCAAGGTTAATGGAAAATGTACAGAAAACAGTTCCTTTACACTCTCCACGCGTAGGCTTGTCCTCAAAATGATGTCGCTTCTCCCGTCCCAGCAAATTTCAAACATGGAATCTTCATTCTCGGCCGTCTTCGTTTCCTTCTGTCTCCCATCCGTTTAAAGCTTCCTATTCCCGGTGGCTAACGTAGGCTCGAATAGCGTAACTTTGGTGATATTTTCTTTCGAAAAACATATGTACATACCTTCTTTGGCCTTGCCTTTAATATTTCATATGTTAAAAATCGGTATTTGTAATGCTTTTTTCGCAAATAAAATAAGTTACTTATTACGTATAATAAATAAGAATGGTTTAAAGCATGTCGTGTTTGGTATCATTTTAATTGGAAAAATGTGACCAATATATTAAACAAATTTCCATGTATAAATAATAATATATAGTATAAAAATTTAGAAATAAAAAAGTTAAGTCATCGTTTTAATCTATCATTACAATATTGTACACCGGCTGTCTCCGATGCTGACCGCTGCCTTTCCAGGTACATACATACATAGTATACAACATAGTTTTGCTCGACTCGAGTTTCGTTCTATCTCTCTTCCTCTCACGAGGTGTCGGCAACAATAAAGGCGAGCCGCGAAGGCTCGAAGAAATCAATTCCTGCGTACTACTCTCGACACTTTAGAATCGGTCCTGGCAACAGATAGGGAGTTTTTACTGTACATCGTGATTGATTTTATTTTGAGCAATCAGAAATATTTGTCCAAACTTTATCATGTTTGATCTAATCTCAATCAGAAAGCTATCACACACACACACACACCGAGAGAGAGAGAGAGAGAGAGAGAGAGAGAGAGAGAGAGAGAGAGAGAGCAAGATATTAAAAAAGAAATCAGTTTTAAAATGTTAAAATTAAAAAAGAGTTATGTCATTGATTATTTATATTTGATTGACATTGATTATATATATTATGAGTTGTCTTCCAGGAATTCGAGTCAAAGGAGGCGCGTCGTATGACGCATCATACGCTCGACCGACTCCGTCGAACCTTAGCATCGACGTAGCGAGAAAATCGATAAATTACAGGGTCGCGGCAATATCGCGTGTCAGTGATGACATACTGAAATTACGCCGGGAAGAGAGACACTATTGTACAGGGTGTTCCACAATTACTTTAACAGCCGAAAATGAGGGGTAGCTGAGGTCATTTGAAGTAACTTTTTCCTTTGCGAAAATGCAATCCGCGGCTTTGTTTACGAGTTATTAACGAAAAACACTGGCCAATGAGAGGTGACGGTGCGAGAGAGAGAGAGTCCGCAGCACGAGGCTTTGACAAATGGTCGGGACGGACTCGAGCCACGTTCGAAGTATTGAACAAATCACGAAGCGAGAACTTTTAGGATTTTTTTTAACTACGTAACAGTGATATTTTTAAGAAAAACGCTGTTCACCTTTACTTTAGAACGTCTGAAGAATATTTACAAATTTTTCGGACTCGAAATAATAAATAATTTAACCGTGACGGCCGTTTTAATTTTCTAGTGTGCATGACACCTCGTGTGTAACATGTGAAATTTTTAAGCAAGGTGTACAGTGAAGATTAACAAAGTACGTAAATGATATTTTACGTTAATGGTATTTTATTTAAATAATTCCGTGTCCGAACACAGTTCAACGAATGATTCGCAAAGCTAATTTAATAAATAATAATCGTGTTAAAGGACGTAAGGGATATGTTTGTTAGAGAAATATGAAGAATATTATCAACAAGAAACTCACCCATTTAGTTGTAAAATCCACTTCATGCACGGAAATGTGTGCAGGAGGATAGTGCATTGACCTCGTACAATGTATGATGAACTGCACAGCTGATCTGTATCCGACGGCGACGAACAGAAGGATATCTCCGGGCAGGCAATTTCAACGTTTACTTTCACTGCATTATTACTAAACACTGATCACTTATCAATAATATTTATGGACCAACTTTCCTGGGTTAATATGTATAGCTCTGAAAAGAGCCGATTTTTTTATGCGACGCGTTCGAAGTTCTCACTGTTAACGACACGTATGTACCGCGTTGTCGAGATGAACTGCAGAAGACTGGCACGATGGCCGACTGTGTTTCGTTCTCCTACGAGCGAATTTCAACTGTTTTCCATCGAACGCGAACATTGTCAGCCATCGTGCTAGTCTTCCGCAGTTTATCCCGTCAACGCGGTATGTGTTCTTAACGATATGAACTTCGAACGCGTCGCATAAAACAATCGGCTCTTTTCAGGGCCATACATATTAACCCAGGAAAGTTGGTCCATAAATATTATTGATAAGTGATCAGTGTTTAGTAATAATGCAGTGAAAGTAAACGTTGAAATTGCCTGCCCGGAGACATCCTTCTGTTCGTCGCCGTCGGATACATGAAGTGGATTTTACAACTAAATGGGTGAGTTTCTTATTGATAATATTCTTCATATTTCTCTAACAAACATATCCCTTACGTCCTTTAACACGATTATTATTTATTAAGTTAGCTTTCCGAATCATTCGTCGAACTGTGTTCGGACACGGAATTATTTAAATTAAAATATCATTTACGAACTTTGTTAATCTTCATTGTACACCTTGCTTAAAAATTTCACATGTTACACACGAGGTGTCATGCACACTAGAAAATTAAAACGGCCGTCACGGTTAAATTATTTATTATTTCGAGTCCGAAAAATTTGTAAATATTCTTCAGACGTTCTAAAGTAAAGGTGAACAGCGTTTTTCTTAAAAATATCACTGTTACGTAGTTAAAAAAAATCCCGAAAGTTCTCGCTTCGTGATTTGTTCAATACTTCGAACGCGGTTCGAGTCCGTCCCGACCATCTGTCAAAGCCTCGTGCTGCGGACTCTCTCGCGGACTCTCTCTCTCTCTCGCGGACTCTCTCTCTCTCTCTCGCACCGTCACCTCTCATTGGCCAGTGTTTTTCGTTAATAACTCGTAAACAAAGCCGCGGATTGCATTTTCGCAAAGGAAAAAGTTACTTCAAATGACCTCAGCTACCCCTCATTTTCGGCTGTTAAAGTAATTGTGGAACACCCTGTATATCGCAATGTGTACATCACAATTTCTTCTTTCTCTTAAATCACATTTTCTAGGTTAAAAAGTTGCTTATTTTAATGTAATGATGTTTAAAATTACTCAATTTACACTTGCGGTAAACCAAACAAGTAGCAACTTTCTTACTCATAGCAAAAACGTCGACAAATTCGGTTTTCATTTTTTTTTCTTTTTTTGACAATGACCCAACCCGATGAAAAATCTGAGAAAAATTGCGTGCACTGCTTGTGATAGTACCTCATCAGGAAATTAATATACAAAAATCACAATCCTTTGTTTTCGAGAAATCTTTAATTCTCCGATTTTTGTTTGTTTTTTTATTTTTAATAAGCACAGCTTGCAACCGAAAAATCTGATTAAAAAGCCACCAAAGGAGAGAAATAGGTGGAAAAGCGTGTTTTTCTTGGTTAGCTATCGAATGGTATAATATTCATTAAAAAACCTCTAAGGCCAATTTTGACCATCTCAATTAGCTAGGCCCTTTGCAAATAAGTAAAAATCATTATTTTCGGAAATATGA